GCTTTCTTGTGCGTCCTTAAGCTCTTTTAAATGAGGAAGAAGGCGGATGGATCATCTGTGTGTATTGTTGGTGTTTTCCATGTTCCGATCAGTGACTAACCCGCGGCTCCACTGTCTGTTTCCTCTTTAATGGCACAGTAGCTTGGGTGAATGTGGACAGGATCCTGCCATAATTGTGCTTCGTTATTTGCAGTTCAGCTTTGCACTGTTTCCTTTCATTTGCTAGAAGCTTTCAGATAGAAGTAAATTTTTCAAAAGCAGCACGGCCTTTACTCGGGATGCATTTGAAAACCATAACATATGATTTCTTTTTCTTTCTTTCCCTCCTCTCTCATTGAAGATGACCTTGAGCAATGCCCTGAGGAGCGAGGCAAGGCTGTCAATTTCAGGAAGTACTGGAGGAAATGGACGTGTTACGACTCCAGCATTTCCAAAAGCAGTGCATGCTGTCCCTTACGTGAGTCCTGGCATGGGGTGAATGTCAGTGTGACTGATCTCTCGTGATTGATAAGAGCCCTTTGAGTGCCTTACACAATGGTTTTTTTGTGTGTTTATTGTCAAAGTGGTGAGAGGCATCCCGTATCTTGAAGACTTTTCTTTCAGCCAAGAATTCTTAAATATGTGGAGTTCATCTTGAATTGTAAGGAATGATTAATCACAAACACAGCATCCTTTTCTGCTCTGCTCCAATTGCAAAGGCAGCGTGGCGGACAGGTACAGCTCACCCGGGAGCCCTCTAATTTAACTGACGTCTTTGTACAGACTACAGACCCGAATCTGCAGCCACTGTTCTTAGTCTCTTGATTCATAATGACTTAAGCACACTTGACATCAACGGCATCAAGATGTGACATGTTTTATAAGAAAAATTAAAAAAAAAAACATTTAAAATTAAAAAAAAATATTTTTAGGTATTTTCACAAACAAACTGGCTTTTAAATAAATTTGCTTCCGTATTGGTTGGAAAAGAAAAAAGCAAGTAAACTGAGAGGGAAGTGAAGTGATTGACAGGAATAAGGCTGTGGGCATCAGTTCCGCCTGTTTTTCAGAGCCAAATATGTAAATGCTAAGGAAAGAAGACAAAGGAGGTTCTGATCTTGTAATTTAATATCGTCATTAAAACCTTAATGTATCCTATTCTTTAACATTTGGTGTTAATATAAAATTACTTGGCAGTGCTTGACATTTGAAATAAACCTTTTTCTATTGTTTTATTTGCAAGTGGTCCAATTAATTTTGCTTAGCTACAGTTTGGTCATAAATCAAGTCAGTTTAAAGACATTACTAAGTTACTAGGTTCCCAGAAAAACTTTCCCCTTTTAAAAAGGCCAGGTAATTTTCTTGCCAAGTATGAGCTTGATCTCAAATAATATCTGAGTCTGTTTTTGATCTGTCTTACTATTATATATATATATATACACACACACACACACACGTATAATTAAATATTTGCTGATGCAAAAGCATTTACTCTAGATAAATGCTAATAGATTTTAAAAGTAATAATAAAAAACAAATATGTGAGGTTTGTTTGTAAAGTGCTTGAGCTTGCAGAAGAGCAGTACTAATTGTAAATGAAATCAGAAATGCCTTGAAAGTAACTTTTTACATATTTGCCCACTGATCAAATTTCATAAACTAAACATAAGCTTTCAGTTTTAAAAATATAAAAGCGGTCATAAACCCCATATAACCTGAATATTTTAAGACTTTGAGTCACATGCAGTGTAGTTTTCCCCATCCCCGTCAGTGAAAACCATCCTAATATATTATTTTTATATTTATTCCTCAGGTGGAATTGCTATTTTAATATGCCCAGCATGGATAAAATATCACACTTGTGTAAGTTTTGACTAAAAAGCTTATATTTCCCTAGTTAATAAATTGAAAGGATCTGTCTTTCCCTTCATAAAATGTCTTTGTTTCCACTAAAAACTTCCAAATTAAATTAATTTAGTGTCATAAACAGTTATTTACATCCAGTGGTTACTTTAAATATTTGCACTGTTCTCATTTCTGCAAGGGAGCCTTTGTGTGACACTTAGTACCAAGAGCTTTTTCAAGTATTCTTACTTGCTATACTTCATGGAAGGGAAGGAAAATCGTAGGGTTTAATGGAAACCACTTGCACTGAACATGGTGGTACGTGGTGTCATAATATCCTTCCCCAGATTTCACTGCCCCAACCACAGACTCCTAGATAGAAAAGGGTAAGTTTAGAGCATTTCTCCTCATCAGGAATGTTGGAGGTGCATTAAAATTTTTAATAATAAACGCTAGAATGACCAAATTGCAGACTAATTGTTTCCATATTGTACTTAAAATGAATTTTTAAAAGTGAAAAAAAAAGAAAACAATATACAATTGATGGTATTTATTGTATCTCTGGGCATACTCTTCCAAAAATTGAGCTTACCAATTTTTCTCTGTCAAGCTTGAACTAATGTAAATAATTGAAATAATGTAAAGTTATATTTTCATGTTTTTATAGGTACAACATGACAAGAATACATAATGTAAGAGTATTTCATCTATGGATAATGTTGATTGGATGATACACATCCCATTTATAAGCAGTAATCACAGTTTAATATCCGTGTAACGGTGCATCAATATATTGCTATATAAACATGTCTGTGTGCATATAGTGTAAAGTGCTCAAACAAGAATGATGAAAGCTGTCTAATGGTTTTTTATTCATTTTATATAAAAACTGTAATGGAAAGACCAAAATGTTTATGAACTATTCTTATGTAAATTTACAGCTGTCCTTTACTGTACTTTTTTGTTTACAGTTTAGTACCTTATTTCCTGCCGTGTTAAGTGGGTGTCCAGCTCCAAGGAGACATACACTTTCTACTACTTCTACTGAAGATATTGGGATTTCCAATTTTTCATGTGTATTATGTCAGAAAATGCTTTGGATTTTATTTTTAAATTTAACATCAGATGGCTTTTTGGAGTGTTGTAAAAACTTCAATCATACATAAAACATGTTCCTACAAAAGGCAAAGATCTTTTTTATTATTTAATAATACTTCAAACTAATAATAGCAACAAACCAAAAAAAAAAATGTGTTGAGCATTATTCCCCAACAAACCCGACTGTTTCTACCAAGAGTGCATCTTTATTCAGCTTATATATCAGCTAAGTACAAACAGAAGAGGAATGTATTTTTATACCCTAAAATGATTAATAATTCTGGTATCCTATATCTGCAGTCATTCAATGCTTTGGCACATGTAGAAATACAACTATTAACTACATTACTCATTCTACAGATATACTCTAGTGACAAAATTCATGCATTACGGTCATCAAACATCTTATGCTGTGGTTAGCTCATTTGCTGTCAAATTACAGAGCAAAAGGTGTCTTACTTTGAAAATCCCATGACTTGTTTCAAGAAAAAAAAATGTCTACTAAAAGAATATTAATGAGAAACTAAAACACCACTTTACAGTATTTTTTTACAAAGCTGATCATTTTAGTACTTAATCCCATCTCAAGTATTCTAACATTGTTAAAACATTTTAATTCTTCAAAATTGTGCTCAATTTTTAAATTTTTGTGGATTTAAATATATTTAATGTTCAATACATAAATACAACTACTTAAAACCCCATTTCTTAACTGTCAAATCTGCAAACACTATACATATTTTTCCCTCGGGGTAGTAATTTGAGCAAATGGAGAATTAACAATATAGTACCCTTACAGGATTATTTTCAGTATGATATCTTCATATCATCATGTAAAATGTCATGGTGAAATTTAGTAGAATGCAATACAATTCATTTCTCTCTTCTATTCCCTCTCTATTTACACTCTACAGGTACTTGTTGGGAAAATGCAAACAAATAACTCAAGTATGAATTCAAGCTTGGAATATATGTTTCTCAGTTTTTAAGCTTGTTTTCTGCCCGGTAGAATTTATTATGTATCGGTTTTTGTGAGCCGACTAAACTGTCATGTTAAAGGAAGGGAAATTCAGGCAATTAGACATTTCCCTTTCATTTAAATGAAATAAGTTTGTGTTCTGATTAGCCACCAAAGTGACTAATATCAACTTTAATTGTTAATGTAAGGATTATTAGTAATCATATAGCATTAACTTTGGTGAGTGTATTGGTCAGGGATGAACTCTCAAAGAGCTTATTAAAAGAAATAATAGAAACATAAACATCCTTTGAAAGTAAATATGCAAAAGAAATTTGATACTTAAAATTGGTATATTTTAAATCACCAACATGAAGGAGGGTACATATCAATGAATCATGATGATACCATGAATGAAAATTTAGCGCTAAAGCTTAAATGGTTGGCAAAAGTTGTATCAAGAAATTTAAAAAGTCTTGTAATGTGTTTTTATTGGCTAAACCATGACACTAGAAATTTTACTAGGCAGTAATCAGTAAATTGTACTTTATTTCTGTTTTTTAAAAAACTCATAGGCAGCATATGGCACTCTAAATATATGAATGTTCAAATATATAAACAAGATGACATTCAAACACTGAGCCTAAAATAGAGATGCCCTAAGACCTAAAGAAGATAGCAAAGTGCCTGGGGTAATCTCAAACCATCAAAAATCTATGCATGTCTTTTATATCCTGCCTCTATCCATTTCCTTCCGGCTTTCCCACTTTACATTCCTTTCTTGCCCTTCAGTGCAACTGCTATTTTTCATATATATACTTCAGATGATATCTCATTTTTTAAGTTCCATTCATCTTGATTTTTTCTCATGTTATCCAATCAATTTCCAGCTTGTCTTTCATGAGAAGTTTTGCTTTGAGGGCACATGGAATGCACTTCATTTTTCCAAAGACAGGACTGACAATTTCATAGTCTTCTTAATAACTGTAATGAATGACTGGGAATTTCTCCAGTGAAATAAAAATTTCCTGCTAAGCTCCACTTCTGTACCTCTCACACATTCTGATCCAATACTTCCCAATTTCTTATATTTCTCCATGTACTGAAAGAGTCCCACAATTTATGGAGTTTCTGGAGAGACAAAAGGAGGCTCTTTGAAGAAGCAGAAAGAGAAAAGAACCCTATTGCTGTTTGCTCACCAAAATTCCTTTCTAAGCCCACTTTACAATACACCCAATCCAGTTCTCCATTTTAACCCCACTCACAAGCACTTCTAATTGTCTTTTCTCTCACCAGGAATCAGTTAATGTTGCTATTTCAGGGTCAAATTCCCTTTTGGGTATTCATAAACTCACTATTACTTCATTGGATATGCTTGGATTCACTGAATGAATTTGATCATCTTTCTTTCCCCTCCCTTCCTTCCCTCCTTCCCTCCCTCCCTTGTGCTCTCTCTCTTTCTTTTTCCTCTTTCCTTTCAGATTAATATGCCAATTTCATTTTATTATAAATTGCAATGTGGAGAATGGATTAACTCTCGGGAGAGAGCCCAAACCAGGATTCTAGCTTTATCTCCCCTTCCCTCGCTCCTTGCTTTGTTTCTTTCCTGGACTGGAGTATGTGAATACTAGAATAGTTTGGCATTAATGATAAAAAGAAATTTGACATGATTACTAAAGACAGAATGTACCATAGCCTTTGTTCAATAATGGTTTGAAGGAATGGATTCATGCATTGATTGCCGCTCTGCAAAGAAAACAAAAGTTTTAGTATTCAGTTTCAAGTTTGTTTCATTGTCTCAAATCATTAGTAAAACAGCTCTATCCTGTATGTTTCATTCATGAATTTATGTATTCATTCATTCCATCTAATAAATGTTTATGAATCTGCTCTTGAATAAGTAAGAGATGAATTGAAGATCCCTTTCTGATGATTAAGTATATTTTCTGGAAAACACGTGATTCTCAGTCATTTAGAAATAATATCATTACTTAGCTTACTCTGTGACAATGAGTTACACATTTTTGTCCAATGTTATTAAACTGATGACATTCAAACTTTAATGTGGGTCAGGAGTTGGACATAATTCATCAGCTCTTCTCAAATATGAGCTCATATTTTACCTTCTAAATAAATTTCAATTGGGTAAATTGTGCCCACCCATGTATTTACTGATCATCAAATCAACATTTCTATTTCTATTCTTAAAGAGCCAAATTGATTAACAAATACTACAGTATGGTAATTTAAATCGCTTCCACCTGCATGGCCTACATGTCTCTAAAAATCTGTGTCTTTGAGTAAGAGTTAATTAAAATATCATTCAAAGTATTTGGGATCAGCTCTTGAATAGCATATTACTTTCAAACTGTGGCAAAAATTAAAGAAACAAGCTGGCAATTTCTCAACCAAGTACATACCAATTCAGAATTTATTAATGACAATACTTAAAATAAAAATCATTATTTTTAAAAATAATTTATTTTTGTTTGATTATATTTACAATAAATTGCATCTAAACTCAATGAAAGTAGTTTATTTCAGATGAGAAAGGTTCAGGGAACAATTGAGTAATTTAACGTTTATTTAATTTGCTAAAAATAATATTTTGTGTTAAGAATATATATGTGATAGCCATAGTATTTTACTATCAGCCATTATATTTTCAATATTAATGGATATGGAAGTCCATTTAGTAAACATCAGAATCAAAAGTGATTGACAACTAATGCATATTTTCCTTTCATTCCTTTGTATTTGGTTTTTGTTATAAAATTAAGACATGTTTCAGATATTAATATTTCTCCTAAGTATCTTGTGGTCAAGAATTTTGTGGTATGAAAATTCCTATGATGATTGAAATGCCAGGATTTAAGATTTTGGATAAATTTATCCCTATCCAAACCACTTTTGTATAAGTTTACATATTATTCTGAAAAAACAGCGTCATGAAAATGATGTGCACACTTTTTGAAACAATTATGTAGAAAACGAAGTCTGTAGTATTATAAGCTATAAATTCTCAACCTTCTTCCTTCTATCCCCCACTCCTTCAGATTAGAATGTTTGGCTGATTATCATTACCAGCTTTAATTAAAGCTGATTAAAGAAAAGCTTGAGTGAAGTTTAAGTCATGGCTTGCAGTTGTTCATAAGATTAATTTATATGGTGTCTAGATCACAGGCTGCCTATTGAGCTTCGCACACCCTTGTAAACATTGCCGAAGCTCTCTGTGAGGGAGACCACCTGTCTTCAGTGTGCTTCTGCATCTTCACTGGGGATTCTTTTCAAAGTAAAATGTATCTTTGGACTTGTGTTGAATCTGTACCTTAAACAGTTTTGAGTCTGTTCTACGTACATTATCTTGTCAACTATTTGTGTTAAAGAGATAAAACATCTCCGTTTTTATTGACTCTGTGTTTCTGTGCGTGTCTGTGTTCACATGTATGTAAAAATCCTACATCCTCTGGAGCATTTATTCTGATAATTGCTTGTAACCTTGTTAACATACTTTCCGAAATATTTCACAAATAGAAATAACTTACAGGAAGTTGTTATCAGTATTTTAAAGGGGGTTTCAAAAGAAATCAAGCAACCCTCTAGGTTGGGCATCCAAGAAT